GATATTTATTGATTGCATGAATGTTTAGTTTCTCTGAGTTTGTGCAAAAACTTTTTAATTTATTCTTTCGATAACTGTTTTTTGAATGAATGAGTGAGAGGATGTGTGAATGAATGAATCTTTAGTACCCTGAGCTGGTTTCAAGATCACCTCTCAAGTCCCCCTCTCCAGTAGCAGTGTTTGGCTCACCACCCCAGAGATGTGTTTCACTTGAAAGAGTCCCTAAGATGAGCCTCTCTGCCTGTCTCCAAAACTGCTTAGGTGGGACCCACCCTGGTCCCAAGCGTGCCTTGGAGCCATACTCTCTCCACCTCACCTTTCTTCTGGGCAAAACCTCTGTTCTAGCCAAATAATATACTTGCTCTCCTGTTGTCCGAAATCCAGGCTGCTTCCACTTCTATTTGAGCCCCCATCCACCAAGTAATGATATTAAAAGTGGATGCAACATGAGTACCCTGGTTATACAGTTCTCTCGGCTGGTTGGGTGAAGCTGCACTGAGCACTTGGCCTGTTCCTTGAGGGCTGAGTGACTGCTGGACAGATGGAGGGGGAAGATGTTTTCAGCAGTGTGAATAATGTGTGCAAATGTTCAGCCCCCTGAACAGACAGAGGGGGAATAGGCTGTGAAGTTCTCACGATGCTCTGTCAAGGTCTTTCAATTTTAATATGAGTCTTCCTAGAAGTTTGACTCTGCCCTGACTAGCCCCACCCAAAATCTGTCCCTTTGATAAATCACACCTTTTCCCATACCACCGTTCCTTGCTGCCCAGGACCTCAGGTCCTCTTTTCTGTATTACAGATTTAAAACTCCAGAATATTGACTGGCAGAAGACCTCCAACCGGCAGGCGCATCACACAGACAAATACTACAGCCAGGATCTCATCTTGCGAAGAGGTCAATCGTTCAAATTTTTGTTGACCTTGAATGCACCTCTCAGACCTGGAGACAACCTGGGGTTCATAGTCTTTACAGGTACCTGTTCATTGCCTCCTCCACCCCATACATGCCTCAGTAGCCCATAGGATTGTGCATCCAAAGGTCACTGGGCTCTAGCCGAGCTCTGCCACTGATTCAATGTGACTTTGGGTAAGTTTCTGCCTGTCTCTGAGCCCAAGAGTCCTAGTCTTCAAATTAAGAGGGGTTTGGCCTACATGATCTCTCCAGTCACTTCCAGAGCCATGATGTAGTACTTCTTTGGATAATGTCCCTCCAAGGGCCTCTGTGGTTGTACTGGAATCTGATTTCTCCCCCGAGTCTGGCCAGCACTCCTCGACTTCAACTGACCCCTGTCTCCTTTTTTCAGGGCCCTATCCCTCAGAGTCAGCCAGAACAAAGGCTGTGTTTCCACTCTCTAATGGGACAAGAGGTGACAGCTGGAGTGCCCAGCTCGTGTCCCAGAACAACAACACTCTGACCATCTCCATCTTCAGTCCTGCCAATGCACCCATAGGATGGTACACACTGAACATTCAGATCAACAATTATACTCTGAAACTTGGGATGTTCATACTGCTCTTTAACCCCTGGTTGCAAGGTAGGCATCTAACCGCCCACACTCCCACCCATAACAGCTAAGCAATGCCCATGGAAAGGAGATGAGTGAAATGATTTTCATGGGATCAGGTTTGATTAGGAAAAGTTTGTGGGATATGGACAAAGCATAGAAGCTAAAAATCAAAAGCCATAACTTTAAGTCCCAGCTCTGCCACTTAACCAGTTATAAGTCTAGGCAGTCACTCTACCTTCCTGAGCCTCAAATTCCTCACCATTAAGTGGACATCATGCTATTTCCCCTGGTGCTATTGCAAGGATCTCATGAGTTTTTACAAACTGCATAGTATGATGTAATTATAAGGGACAATGACCATAGTACAATTCTGTAGTATAGACATAGCTTCCTTCCTAAAAGAACACGTGTCTCATTCCCAGGATCTCATTTTCAGACTCTCAGATCATCCCAGCTTCTCTTTCAAGCTCATAGTTCCCACAATATGAGTTGGAAGCATTACAGCCCAAGGCTTCCTTCCTCAGTCAAGGTTGGGGAAGTGCTGCAGCTAGGACTTGCTCCAGCTCCCAGGCCAGTACTCAAGTTGGAGGAGGAGGAGGACTGGTTTCTACAGTCCTCCAAAGGATTCTAGTACCTGATGTCTGATTTTTATGTTAAACAGCGGATGGTGTCTTTATGAGTAACCAGGCTGAGAGAGAGGAGTACGTTCAGGAAGATGCCGGTGTTATTTTTGTGGGAAGCACAGATCGAATTAGTATGGTTGGCTGGAACTTCGGACAGGTAAAAGGGTCATAGGAGGCTGAGTGTTATGTCCCTATTACCCAGGAAGGTCAGCGGTTGGCCCCACAGATAGGTGGAAGTTCTCAAATCTGATCATTTGCCTGCTCTTCTATTCATTCATTCATTCAGAAAACATTTATTAACCATTTACTATGTGCCATGCCGCAGCTGCACACTAAGGATACAGAAGATGGATAAGACAGATTCATTGTCTTTGAGAGAGCCACAATTCATTGGGCAAAACAGACACATAATTAAATCAATGCAATGAAGTGTTATTGACGCCACATTACGCAAAAGAAGATAAAGCCCAGTAGAGACGCTTGGGACAAAAATGTAGTTTCTATTATTCATTCCACGTAAGAATGTGATGAACCTTCCTTGGTGTGTGCATTCGTCTTCCCAAGGTCTTTCATTACTGTGACCACCCGTCTGAGTCCCAGAATCCCCGGGTTTGCTCAGTCTGGAAAACATTCAGGGATTTCCCTAAGCTTTTCTTTTCTAGCAGACAAACGAAGGCATTTGAATGAGGTAAGTTGGGTGGGATGCCTTGGATATCAGGAGTAGGTGGACAGGTGCATGTTCTGCCTATCTTCAGATCCTATTCTATAGTCAACCAGAGCAAGTCTGCTATATATTTTATAAGCTGGGTTTTTGTGTCAAATTCCATTGGAAGGAAGAAAAGAGGGAAAAAAGGGGATAAAAATGAACCTAGAGGTGGAAAGGGAGCTATTTTTAATGGCATGGGCTGGGCGAGCCACTCCCAGAAAGGAACTTTTGATCAGAAACCTGAGGGAGGCAAGAAAGCCAGATCTATATCTTGGGGAAGATCATTGGAGGCAGAAGGAATAGCACCTGCGAAGACCCTAAGGCGAGAGAGAGCTTGGCCCTCTCCATTTGAGCATCAATGACTAAACATAAGTCTTATTTTGTGAAAATAGCCTGAGATGCCTTTTAGCAAGATATCTTATCTTTACGATTTCTTCCCCAGGAGTCTAAATAATATGTTCAAGATCACAGTCAGAACTAGACGGAAATTTTGAGATGAGCTTAGGTCAATCCAGATGGAGGAATCAAAGCCCAGGCAGATTGAGTGATTTGCTTCCAAATTCATGACAGTGAGAGAGTCCTCCTCGTTTAAGAGGCTCAGCACAGGGCTTCATGTATCGCGAGAGCTCTGGATGGGTTTGCAGGATTAAAGGCTGGGTGAGGTGGGTGTTCCTTGGTAGTTCTCAGTTCTGGAGTCCACAGAGTGAAAAGACCTGGGCAGTTGCTGTGCTTCTCACCACTGTAGCCCCCATACCCTTAATTAGCCAACACTACTTGTCATTTCTTCCATCGTAATATATGGTTTTATTTTGAACAGTTTGAAGGAGACATTCTGAACATTTGTCTCTCGATCCTGGATAACAGTCTGAATTTCCGCCGTGACCCTGCTACTGATGTGGCCCGCAGAAGTGACCCCAAATATATTGGCCGGGTGCTTAGTGCAATGGTGAGTGATAGGAAAACCAGTGGTTACCATATATCAAACCCAACTATGCATCAGGCACATGCGCTCTTACATATGTCATTGAAGTCTCACAAATATGGTTGGTGGCTGTTACCATCCCCGTTTTACACACATGGAGCCTGATAGGAAAACCAGTGGTTACCATATATCAAACCCAGCTATGCATCAGGCACATGCGCTGTTACATATGTCATCTCATTGAAATCTCACAAATATGGTTGGTGGCTGTTACCATCCCCATTTGACACACATGGAGCCGGAGTTAAAGTACTGGCCTGGTGGCACAGTGAGTGAGTGGCAGAGGCCAAACTGGAACCATGTCTACCTGGTTCCAGAGCCTTTTCTTTTGTATCATAAGACCTTTCTCAGATGACAAGGGAACTTGCCCCTTTGGTGTTCGTCAGGACTGGAAGGAAGCAAAGCGGAGACTTTGCTCCATCCCTGGGCTTTCTGGGAAAGGAGGTAGGCTCCCCAGTAAGCCCGAAGTGTCAATCTCCTTTGTTTTAGCCCCTCCCTTCCACAGTATAGAGTGCTTGAATGTCAGACTAAGAAGGCAGAAGGCCAACCCACTCATTATCTAGATGAGGAAATCAAAGCCCCGGGAACTGAAGTGACTTGCTCACAGCCTGTGAGTCAAACCAGAGCAAGGCCTTGAACTGCCCACCCAGGGCCTCTTTTCCTCACTTAGTCCCTCCACTTGAGAGACTCATTCCCTCCGCCCCCCACACCCCAAACATACACACAAGCTAGATCCTGGAGGAATCTCTTGCTCTGCACTCAATGTGTAGAGAACACCTCCATCAGAAAGTGTCCAAACGTGGGATCAACCTGCTCGAGTTACAAATTAAAAAACTAAAAGTCAGAGAGTTGTTGGTCTTGAATCCTCTGAAACTACATAATTAGCCCAGAAGTATATTTAACTTTTTTTTATAGACTAAGCACATTTCAATCTCTTTTACTTTTGAGTTGGAGAATATCCAAGCTAAGAAGCTAGTTACATGGTTAGAAAATTGAACAACCTTCTGAAAGGATGATAAACATCTTGGGGTAATCAGAGAGGGCTTCCTGAAAGAGCGGAATCTTAAACCAAACCTTGCAGAAAAGGAGTGGGTTAGCCTAGGGAATGTGGAGATGGGTGGGAACCAGAGGGGCTGGGGAAAGATGCCGAGAGGAAGTGAGACCTGAGCTGAACCGTGAAAATGAAGTGGCCATGGAGGGGTGGAACTAAAGCCAAGGCCAAAGTTAAGTAAGGAAAGCTGGCTTTTAGGGCAACTTAGGAGGCTGGGCCTTTCTGGCCCAGGAGAGGGTGGGTGAGGCCAGCCGGCTCCAGCAGCTGCTGACTCACTCTCACCCTGGAGACAAACCTCTTTATCTCAATGCCAATTTCCTCGGCTACACCTCTCTGCAGACCTCCTGGTTGGGCTGGGCCATGAGCTAATTATGGCCTGTGTAAGGCTTTGGGATGCTCAGCTTTCAGCCAGAGATGACCCTGCTGATTACCACTTGGGTGGCTGTGACTCAGGAAATGGAGATGGGCTGCACACCCTTCCATCTTGGAGGAGACTGTCCTGCCTGATTCTGCGATTACAGCCCAGACCCTCCTGGAGGTGGCTGCGGAGCTCACCCACCACACGGAGGGGTGTGGAATGTCCGGGTCAGCCCATCCTAGGCAAGGATGCGTCTGTTCCCATACTGTCCATTCTCATAGGCCTTGCCACTTGTGGATCCCCAAGAAAGGAAGCAGGACTCACAGACTGAGAGATTCTGGTCCAGACTCTCACTGTACAGTTTGGATAAATGCTAATCAAAATTGTCATAAGCTCTGAAAACTGGGCTGCTGGAAGACACCTGAGAGTTCATTTGTTTCTAACTTTCCCTATATTGGAAGGTGAAGAACCAAGGCCCACATTGGTGAATTAATTTGCCCACAATTACAGAGCTGACAAGTGTCAAAGCTGGGCTTGTAACTCAGGTTTCTCCTTCTCTCTCTCTCTTTTAACTTTGTATTATGGAAAAGTTCAGATTTCCACAAAAGTAAATGGAAATGTAAAATGAATTCCTACATACTCATCACCAGCTTCAGCAATTACCCACTCCAGGCTAGTCTTGTTTCATCTCTGACTCTCTCCTCCAACAGATTATTTAATAAATCCAAGATATTGCATCATTTCATCCATAAATATTCCAATATTTGTCTCTAGGACCATGGTACTCAGGTGTCTCAATTCCTAGTCCAGTGCTCTTTTCACATTGTATCATGGTCATGTTACTTGTGCAAGAATCCTACCTTAAGTTGAATGAATCAATGAATCAATGACAAGCAATATTCCAACTTTATTCATTCTAAGAAGTTAGTTGCTAAAGTTTTGAAGTGATCTTTTAGAAGACCAGTACACCAAAAGAGAGTTTCAAACCATGGACCCCATGTCAGACACCACTGACTACCTGTGACCTGTGGCAAGAAATCCTTTGCAGGCTGGATTTCTGATGCTGCTTTGCCATTGACAAGCCAAGGGCCTTGTTTCCATGTGAGCCTACTGCACATGACTGATACTTGGGTTAGAGGCAATTAAACATGACCGATTAAGCAAAGCACTTTAAAATACATACACTACTCAATACCCCTAAGGGACCTTTATTACAATTATTATCCCCCTATCACTGAGAAAGATAGAAAATCAATACAATGGCTCCCTGGCTTCCTTCCTCGCCTCCCCATCTTGTCCCCTAAACTCTGCATATCACTCTCTGTGCTGATTTTCTTGGGGATTTTCCTGCCTAGATCAATAGCAATGATGATAACGGTGTGCTTGCTGGGAATTGGAGTGGCAGCTACACAGGTGGCCGGGACCCCAGGAACTGGAACGGCAGTGTGGAGATTCTCAAGGAGTGGAAGTCATCTGGCTTCAGGCCAGTCCGATATGGCCAGTGCTGGGTCTTTGCTGGGACGCTGAATACAGGTACTCCGGGTGTGACACGCCTTTGCTGGGGTGGTGGGCAGCACTGAGATGCCCCAAGGTATCGTCTCCACTGTAACCCAAGGCCTCAGACTGCCCCTTGACTTACAGTGCTGCGGTCTTTTGGGATTCCCTCCCGGGTGATCACCAACTTCAGCTCAGCTCATGACACAGATCGAAACCTCAGTGTGGATGTGTACTACGACCCTATGGGAAATCCACTGGACAAAAGCAGTGATAGCATATGGTGAGTGTCTGACCCTTTCTGAGCACCAAATCTGAGCAGCTTCTTGCTTTCCTCAGTAACATATCAACACATGGTTTAGAATAGAAATGCTAACAATGCTGAGTACACATCTAGCAAGACCCAAAACAGTTCGGCAAACCCTGGTGGTTTGGTCTACCTTGCCACCAGATAAAGAGTTTGATACCAGTTCATATCAGATATGATACCAGGTATGGCTCATGGGCTCTGCAAAACTGCCCTATTTTATAGAATCCATTAGACCCTGTGCTCCTTTAAAAAATAAACATTGAAACTATTGATTTTCCAGTAATAAGAGAAAAATTATCTCATTTCAGGCAGTCCATATGACCTACAGACTTTATTAAAGAAAAACAGTCCATTTTCTCTTACACATATATACTTTTTACGTACCTTGGTTGAGAGAATAAAAAAATAGTTTATTCTGGATTCCAATGGCAAATAAGAAGCTTTATATGTATATGGGCATATATATTTCTAACCATAAATAGACCATGTGCACAAGTATCTGAACATACACATATATATGTCATATGTATAATAGATGCCAACTGGAAGTAGGAGGTTATATAAAACTTATAGACGTATCTATAACTTCATATAGCAGTATACATACATAAAATAGATATTGTTACAGCTATTTAAGCATATACCATATGCCAAGTTAATACCAGATGGCAACTGAAATAATTATGTCTATATCTGTATATTCACATAGATATCAATGTATCTATATATAAAGAATACACATATGTCAATAAGCCATTGTTTTAATCCATTTCAAGGGATGCATACACACACACACACACACACACACACACAATCATTCACATGCATAGATTTGGCTAGATAACCTGATACAGATGCCATCTTCTTATTTCCATATGTTCAACTTTGAGATAGTCTATATAAAATATTCTGTAACTGCTTATTATTCCCAGAATAAGTAGATCTAACTTTTCTGAAATGTGCTTAACGTAACTAATAGAATACAGTCAAAGGAAAATAAAATTAACAGAAAAGCTGTTAAAACAAACTACAACACCATGCCAAAAATGGAACTGAGTAATAAAAGCATCCCCTTTCTTCTGAAGGAGGATGAGGCTCATGTAATTCACCAAAGGTCACGTGGATTCTAGGGTTTAATGAGGGAGAGAAAGCTTATTTTAAGATGTTCTTCCTTGATCTGCACATATACAACTTTCTCTCCAATGCCATTGCTACTTATGGCAAGGTTTTGTTATACAGCTTCTTTTCTGTTCTCTGTTTTTTTCTTTTGTTGTTATCTCAAAAATCCCATTTTGAAGAAAAGTCCTGATTGTTGGGGCAATGCCATTCCTGGCCTTGGTTATAATTGCTCCAACCAGATGACTGATCTGGGATGAGAGGAGGTCCATTTTGGCATAATCCTGTGATTATCCTGCACACTGGGAACCGCAGAGAGACCAGAAAGCTTAAGACTCAATTCCTCTGCTGGAAGCATTTCTGATGCTGTTAGGGAACAGGAAGCAGGGAAGCCATTAGTAGAGGCTGATTAACGATTGATTCGGGATGGTGTGTGGAGTACAGGCGAATGATTCTGACAGTAAGCACTGTGGGAACTCAGGGAGGGAGTCGTCAAGGAAGGCTTCCTGGGAGCAGGAAGGTGGGGCTTCTAAGTTGAATTTGGAATTAGAACCTAGATCTCTTGGTTTACCAATTCATGCTACCACCCCATATTAGCTTTATAATTCATTCCAAATATAATTACCTTGTGGCAAGTATAGACCCATGGAAACATTCCAAGGTGTTTCCACAGTCATATTTTGGCCCCATCGTAAGGTATCAGGCCCAAAACTCTGATTTTAGCGGCAGTCTCATCGGTCCTCACCCTCCCACCCCTCACCAGCCTTTTCTGAACCCTCTTCAGAAAGCAGTGGGAGCTGATGGTCCCTGCCACCCCATTCCTTGTTTACTGAGGGCCCAGCACTGTACAGTCTGAGAACAGGGAGTCCTGAGTCCTAGTTCCAGCCCCACCATCGTCTTGCTCTAGGACTTATGTAAACCACCTCATCTTTCTGGTCCTAAGTTTCTCCATCAGTGAAATGTAAGTGTTGGCCTAGAATATATGTTTACTTAAGTCTCTTACCAGCTTTAATTAGTTGGTTCTCTGCCACTTCAACTCACCCCACTTTTTGCATGAAAGCTAAGGGAGCTCTTCCCTCCCCTCTACATGGATCCTACCCAAGGTGGAAGAGTTAAATCACAAGTCATTTTCTGCCTAGAATAAAATTACTAATCTATTATTTTAAGGAGAGTTAGAATTAGACAGAGAAACCTGACTCTGAATCTCTCTATACTGCAAATGTTGAACCCTTTTAGAAACTTGTCCAGTTTTGCCTAGTCTTAGAAAGTAAGAATCAAGTGAGGTTAAGCATCTGAACGTGCTTAATAATAATAACAGCAGCAAGTAATAATTCATTGAGCAATGTTCTGTGCTAGATACTTTTCTAAGTGCTTACCTTTACTCTTCAAAAATGTGAGGTGGGCACTATTGTGATCATCCTCATTTTATAACTAAGGAAACTGAGACTCTGGGTCATTTACCCAAGAGTATATAACTAGAAAATGGTAGAGCTGGGCTTTCAACCTAGGTGGCGTGTAAACTCTGCAGCACCAGAGAGATGCCAGAGAATGTTGTTATTATTTCTAACTGATATTTGAGAATTTGACAGCTTACCTTGAGATTTTCCAGAGAGGGTTGGCTTGACCCCAGCCACGGCTCTGGTTAGGTTGGGTACTGTCCAACTCATTCAGATAGCTTCTTTGGTTCACACTTAGGCTGCAAATGCCACTTCTCTGTAAGACTAAACACTGTCTCAGGGGTTCAGTAAAGACAAATGACTTGCCCAAAGTCAGTGAAGGAATTAGTGTCCAAGCCAGAGGTGGAACACAGGTTTTTGCCAACAGGACTCTCCAAAATCAAAGAACATTAGGACCAGAAAGGATCTTCGAAAGGGACCTGCTCATTTCATAAATGAGAAAACCAAAGCCCAGAGAGAAGTAAGGGTAAACAACTGGTGGCATTTAAGCATTTTAAATAAGTGTATGACTCTGCATAATTTCCTTAACTTTTCTGTATCTTTTCCCATCTATAAAATGAATGGCTAGATCAGGGTACCTCAGAAATTTCTTCCAGGTCTTTCTTTATGTCACAGGATCTAGTGGGGTACATTTTCTTCTAAGCCATTGTGCTTATGAAAATGGTTTGGCTTAAGAGACACCAGGCTCTGGAGAATTCCGTTCTTCAGAGTCAGAACGTTTGGGGTAGAGCTTCTTTTATACAATTCCTTTCTAGGCCACTGTACAGGAGGTCCCTGGACTCTGTTCAGTCACTGAGCAGCAAACAGTGATTTGGAACAATTTGGCCAAAGTTATTCTTATCTCGACATTTCAGGCTTATTTTCATAATTCTTTTGACTTGATTCCTCAATTTCTAGAGTTACAAACCTGCCTATTTGTAAATTTTATAGAGCTCTGAAGTAGAAAGTACATGGGGATTGATTGCCCTGTACTTTGTTATCAGGGATGTGGAGTTGGCCAGTTTTAGGCAAGAGCTGTTGGCACCTACCTATCATCCCAAAACCCTGGCTCCTAATGCAATCTCTCCATGGCCACCAGCTTCCACTAATATTTAGCCAGCCCCCAACATACCTAGATCACCTCACTCAGACCCATGGCAAGGAAATCAAGGCTCCAAGAGTGGCCCAAGCCCCAAAGCAATTCAATTCAGAAAACACGATGAAGTAGTACTGTGTGCCAGACTCTGCACCGGGCACTGGGCACCAAGAACAGTGAGATGCAGGAACCATGCTTAGTTCATAGCTGCATGAGAAGATTGATGATTACGGAGTGGAAGTCAAATAATCAAATTATGTGCAAGGTTCAAAGATAGCACAGAGGTATGGCTGGCACTCTCAGCACATCAGGAAGACGTTTTGGAGGAGGTAGTATCTCACTGTATTTGGAAGGACAGACGGGAGCTTGCTAGTGGAAAGCATAGGGCATCAGGATCACTTTCTAGACAGGGTCTCCTGACCCTGTGAATTCAAAGGTAAGCGTAACTGAGTTGCTGTCTCTAGGGCATTGGTTTATAAACTTCAAAGACTTCATTAGAATTGACTTGG